GTACGAAGCGGTCGGGGATCGAACCCCGGACCTTCCGCTCTCCGGGCGGACGCTCTACCACTAGACCACGGAGGCGGTCTACACGTATGGAACAATACAGTGATGGTTTAGTGATGAAGCAACTGAATTGAAAAAGAGGCCTTGAAATGAATATAAATCGACTAATATTATTCCGTTCATGGGAACCACTGATTGCTATATATACCCGACGCCATCGTCCAAACACAGAGAGGGATGATACCACTAATTATACCTTAAAGCAATACACTAATGACCAGGTGAATGACAGCCACAGGTGGTAGGGTTATGCTGTGGAACAATGACGACATAAAGCTGTTACATAAGTACTTGTCGCATAACATGTAATTAGGATCCCTGAAAACAAGAAGGGTAATTTCTGGTTCGAGCACATGAAGTCGTATTTGCTTTGTCAGGTTCTGTACATTAACATTTACTTTGTACTTTTGCTTTTGAGCCAACAGAACAAGTCCCTACTAAGGATATCATTATTATTGCATCATAGGTGTATCAACTTGTACAGCTGTTTCACAAACGAAGACTGAATACATAACATGCAACAGGTTTGACTGAGTTACCTCAATCATTCTATCCTCCAGACAAACAATCTGAAATAATTTTGCTCTTTCTCTGCATCATGGCTACCGAACTCAAAGAGACCCTACCATCATAATGTAATTAGGGTCCAATTAAAACAACGCTCCACCAAACTTCATAAATATAATCACAGGAAGTCGTACTACAGACGTTTAATGTCAAATCACGCAAACATTTCAAATACAATGACATTTTCAGGATCATGTAGTCTCCTTACACCATCGCTAAAGATCACGTGGTCGTAGAATGAACTTCTAGACAGTAGTGTGTTTAACTGTTGTGAACATAACACTTTGACGGAACTATTGTCATACAAGAGTGACCTCCCCTCAAATTATCTCCCTTTATCGTAAGTGTCTGGCCCGTTCATAAACTGTTAGCTTCCTTTTTATGTTAGTTCCACATTTTCAAAGCAAAATAATGACAGATGCTCACTTATGGAGTTAATATCGCTTCATGGCGTTTTTTATTCTCCCGAAAATGTTCCGTTAAAAACTGTAAATTTCTGCAAAGCGCCATTTTTGTGTATTCTTTCGCTTCCCACAGCGGTCTCGAAATTTTGAAGAATATTTTTTTTTAAGCTGATTTTGTATATAATCATGTCTTTATGTATGATACATAATTTTCGCGACCCAAAATATTTTTTTGTTTCTTTTGTTCATATTTTTATGATTTTGCAAACACGAAACTACTTTTTTAGTTGCAAATACAAGGGGTGCTGACGCGTCCCTGTGTGTTTGAAGAATTTAAGTTTCATGCTTTTACATTTGAAATGAACTCGTTTAATTTTCCGGTAGACAACAACACAAAAAGTATTTAATAAATAGGATATTCATGTGTCGAATGAAATATCATGTTTTTCTCATCGGGGGGAAAAGGAGAAACATGATATTTCATTCGACACATGAAATATCCTCTATGTATTCTTCTCCATTATCTGAATGAAAATTGATATATTTCTTTTATAGCTGCCTTAAAAAAACTTATCGACATAATGTACATAGTCTGACAAGGAAGAAAGTTTTCGCCAAGTTTCAACTAGTCTTTTTTAAGTATCCGTTTTAAACTGTAGTTCCATGGGCGAAAGCCAGATGTTTCCAAACAATGGATATAGGAGTACGGTAATATATGTTTGACAAATAAGCTGGCATTTTGTTTAAATCTTCGCGGTGCTTGTGTAATTTTTTTAATTTGATCTAAAATGTGTGACATTGGATGACTTTTTCCATTGAATTCCTAGCTTTTATGTGGTCTTTATCAATACCTGGCTTAAATAACGATCAAGTATCACCCGACGTTTGGTAAGTTGTTCCTTTTAGAATTGCAACACAGTCTTGCACAGCTCTGCTCAACGATTAATTCACAATGAATTTGGAAATGATCGATGTTGATTGGTCAATAAGAGGTTGATTCCCAAGGTGAAATGCGAAGGTTAACCCAAATATCAGTACGTAGAGAATCAGTATATATACACACAAGAGAGATCAGTAAATGAATGACAAATAATATATTAAAACAAACATAATCGAAAAAGAACACATAACGGGTCAACAATATGTGGCAATAACAATAAATCATAATCCGTATTACATAAATCAACGCACTAACGAATGTCCAGCTTTCGTCACAGTCGAATATCTTGAATGAGACGCGTGCTCCTTCGATTGAATCCAAATCAGAACAGCGTTAGAAGCTGGCAAGAGGACGGTGTCTCCCTGATACGTATTGCTCTTATATAGATACTTATGGCTTTTATAATTCTCAACTAGTTTTAAATATACTCTGTGATATTCTAGTTTTTGTTGACAGCTTTTTTTGTCTAAATATATGTATTATTAATGTACTTCTCGTCACGATATGGCCTGGAAAACTGCCGATGTGACGTTAAATCGTAACTCACTAACACTCACTCACTCTTATATAGATACAGCCAAGCTTCAAGGAGCATCTCCAATGTTGTAGTCGGAAGTAACTCAACAACTGTAGACAGGCTGTAATGGATGGAACTCTGTATAACGAAAGTGTAGGGAGGGTATCGAGCGCTGGTTGCCACACTAAGTTAAACTCCCACCTACACCAAATTAATAGAACATCAATCCGATAAATGCCCCCACTGCAACTTAAAAGAAACGCCTGAACACGTAATACTATATCACACACCTTATCCGCTACACAGAATAACAGTCCAATCCACACAACAATCAAATGACACTAGCAACGGTACTAAACCCCTTAAATGACTTACAAACCCCACCTTTTGCGTGGCATATTTCAAAATTCCAAATTTGTACTCCAAATTAAGTAAGCAACCCTAAAAGCCCCCCGTAGGTTGCCCCACCTTTTTGGACATACCCTTTTCGACCAAACACTAAATGGCCTGGCGGGCCCGTGCGCGAAATACGCATATGTCGCAAAGCGCACGTTAAATTCCCACTTTAAGTAAGTAAGTCGAGCGCTGGGACGGAGTTTGGACTGTAACCAACTAAGCGGGTCACTCTATTTCATTGCCACTGACAATCATCAGAAAAACCCTTACAATATATACTGCCACATACCAATGTCATGACACCAATATGACACTGAAATGTCTGCATCGATGTTGCAACAAGTACCATCTTTTTAACGTCTTGGGTAGGCCGCGGCCGGGGATCTAACCCCGGATTTTCCATTCTCGGGCTGATACTCTACTACCAAAGCACGGAGCTGGTCGTCTGCATCAAAGTAATCACGATGTACTGCCAGACCTTGCATATCACGTGCTATGCGAGACTTATTAACTCGCACGCACAAGATAAAAACAGTATGCTAACGGGGCTGTGTACTTTCATGGTCTAATATTAAATTACATGATCCATGATTTGAGGAATGCATTCAACATGATCCCAATTCCTTCATCTTCATGATTTGAGGAATGCATTCAACATGATCCCAATTCCTTCATCTTCATGATTTGAGGAATGCATTCAACATGATCCCAATTCCTTCATCTTCATAATTTGAGGAATGCATTCAACATGATCCCAATTCCTTCATCTTCATGATTTGAGGAATGCATTCAACATGATCCCAATTCCTTCATCTTCATGATTTGAGGAATGCATTCAACATGATCCCAATTCCTTCATCTCCATGATTTGAGGAATGCATTCAACATGATCCCAATTCCTTCATCTCTATGATTTGAGGAATGCATTCAACATGATCCCAATTCCTTCATCTCTATGATTTGAGGAATGCATTCAACATGATCCCAATTCCTTCATCTTCATGATTTGAGGAATGCATTCAACATGATCCCAATTCCTTCATTTTCATGATTTGAGGAATGCATTCAACATGATCCCAATTCCTTCATCTTCATGATTTGAGGAATGCATTCAACATGATCCCAATTCCTTCATCTCTATGATTTGAGGAATGCATTCAACATGATCCCAATCCCTTCATCTCTATGATTTGAGGAATGCATTCAACATTATCCCAATTCCTTCATCTCTATGATTTGAGGAATGCATTCAACATGATCCCAATTCCTTCATCTTTATGATTTTAGGAATGCATTCAACATGATCCCAATTCCGTCATCTTCATGATTTGAGGAATGCATTCAACATGATTCTAATTCCGTCATCTTCATGATTTGAGGAATGCATTCAACATGATCCCACTTCCCTCATCTTCATGATTTGAAGAATGCATTCAACATTCTTTCAAATTCATGACAAGAGGAATGCATTTCAACACGACTCCAGTTCTTTCAGATTGTATTGCAATTTGTTTTGCTGTCACAAGTAAACCAACACTTCGATGATAGTAATGAAAAGACGTTGTCCCAAGATGTCATGGCGCTAAACAGTCGTTTACCTGAAAGTTCATTCGACAATTCAATAAGCTGCATATATTGTTTTCAAAAGAAATATTTATTCATGAAGACGCATGAAGGGTAGTTGACAGTGTTACTATTTCGAGGCATACAATATATTTACAGAAAGCATTCAATTTTCATTTTGTACAAGAACCACGTCCTTCAGTGTTCTGTGTGGCATACTCCCACTTCAAAATGTTTATGAAGTGTTAAAATCATATGATGCAAGCAGAAAAAAAATATTAAGTTCCGTTGAAGCTGCCGTTTGGTGATGGAACAAGGTTTTAGAAAATGTGAAGATATATGTGTGGCATTAATTCCCCCATTTGTACATACAAGGTAATATTTATGAGAAATATGGTTTAACCATTTTAAAAAATGGAATAATACTGGAAAACCCATAATTGGAAGAGGGCATGTAAGATCTGATACTTGTATCCGATCAATTTCGTATCTTTCGTAGTCTTCTTCCTATCAAACTGAATAAATCATATCATGTTTACACGAAACTACTTTTCAGGTATTTCCGTAAATGAGGCAGAGAACATTATGCTAGCAAAGCCCAGTGAAGTCAGTGAAACCTACTGGAACGCTGAATTTGCCAATGATGGTTTAAACAACCCCGGATCTACACCAGCTAGAACATGGTCCGGTGTTAATCCCTTCTGGAAGGGAGATCTTCAGGGACACTATGCTATCCATAACATCTCAGTTACAAGTGACGTCTCCTATACGTTTGGTGAGTAGCTTCAGAATACACTTTCTGTAATAAATGCTTAAAAATTCCAAACAGTTTTTTGGTCCGGATAAACCTGTGGCATACATAGCAGAGTGAATTCAACCATGGTGATTCTTTGTGTTCGTGAAAATTATATTACAGAATCATCTGCAAACAGTGTATTGTTCATTGAATGATGTTGTTTATTATTTGTTCCTGCAAACATACGTGGTTTTTATTTATGTCACTAAGGCCTGTCACCAGCTACTGTGATCCCCATAAACATAAAAAAACTAGTAACTGAAAACTGTAAATGAAAGATGCATGATAGCAGGTTATCGATACTCTGAAACCCATCTTGACAATCTTGGACCAAACAGGAGGATACCTCGGGGGCGCATACGTTGAGGTGCACGCTGATGGCAGCAGTGGCTGTCCGGATCTGGACATCTTTGTCTGCGGCCAATGTCCAGAAGTAGTTGGTAAAGGAGAAACCTTCACGTTCAACTGTTCCCACCCTCGACCAGTGAGATTCGTGAAGGTCTGGAGAAATATGACTGATTTTTTAGTTATTTCAGAGGTTGAAGTTGAAGGCACTCCAGTGACAGCAAGGGGTAATATATGCTTCGTATATTATTGACCTAGGCCTTTTTCGTTCTACAGCTATGTAGATACCTACCTATCGTCGCTGCATGATGTAGTCATCTTTCAAACTATTGTTATTCAACCGCGAGAAACATATTTCTGCCTGTAACGTCATAGTCATCCGACCCGAGAACATCTTGGATAGAATAGGTCTACAGGAACCCATGCTTGCCGTAAAAGGCGACTAACGGGATCGGGTGGTCAGGCTCGCTGACTTGGTTGATCCATGTCATCGTATCCCAAATGCGTGGATCGATGCTTATGATGACAATCACTGGACTGTATGGTCCAGACTCGATTATTTACAGACCTCTGTCACATAGCTTGACTATTGCTGAGTGCGGCGTTAAACAAACAAACAAACAAACAATCAAATCATAGTCATCCACATGCATATCTTTCTGTAGTGTTCCAACCATATATCTTCCAACAGCTACGAGTATTAATGCATTTTCTTCTGTTCTGAGACAGAACATCAAGCCACATTTTTAATCACAAATCACATTGGTCATATACTAGTACTCAACAAAAGTTGCTGAGACGTGCTTTTTGACTCACTGTGATACACTGACCTTCCCAACTCCTGGCAGCTGTACTATGTTCAGACTTATTATGTATTACGCATCATGGAGACTAGCAATTTGGTGACTGTCAAAAGGGAAAATGTCAAAGAGTTAATTCAAAAGTTTTTAGTGTGTGCCAGTCCCCACGCCATCCTCATCCTCCTTCATCCCCTTCAGCCACTTCAGCTTGTGAGCACACTCATCATCATTGTCGCATGGAACGAAGGTAACGTTGGATGGTGGAGACCTATGAAATGCCCTTCCAGATCCTAACTTGTGAATAACAGAGTCCAGATATGTGTTTGGGTTCGTGGTAGACGTAGAGTATGCCTACATTTCATCCCACACATGCTCTACTGGAGACGGGATGTGAGATCTAGCATACCAGGGAACACATTCATATTATTCTGCACAAGATATTGCTGCAGAATTCGTGCGAAATATGGTCTCGCGTTATTGTGTTTAAACGTCACTTCGCGGGGACGTTGATTTCATTACGATGAAGCTGAGAGTTCAGGTTTCACAGTCAAACGAACCTTGTGTATTGCTGTTATCTTACCTTACCCCCACCAAAGCCTTATTCTTGAACACAGTTATTGACGTACGGCTCCCCACGACGTCGGTGAACAAGGATACGTCCGTCACAACAGTAAAGACGATAGCGGGAGTCGTCGTTACCTGCTTCACTGAAAACGCAACAAACTTTCAATGTGGGATTTCGTGCTTTTACCCAGAAACAATACGATACGGAGAAGACAACGAACTGTTTGTGCCGACAATCTGTATAGTCAACGGATACTGTTGGTTGTAACAGTTGCTGGTTGGAAGTGATTTCTCTCATCCAGCAGCCCCAGTGTGGTTTGTTGGTTGCCAGCTTTGGCAGCGATTCCACATTGTGTTTCTGCTCACGTTGAACTGGCATCATTTCCCATTGGGATGTTCCAGCTTCGATCAGTCCAATTGCTCTCCAACGACCATTTTCGAACAAGCGTAGATTCTCTTATCTTTGAATGATGGAGTGTGTTTCTTGTTCTTCACATGACAAACCAGTGGTTAAATATACCTATGACCCCCCCACAAAATACATGTTTATCCCACACGAAAATGTGTTTTTGTACCCAATCATGTTTGACCACCGTGGGTTTTGTTTAGGTAAAGTGTCTGATGCCAGGTGCATCAAGTTTGAAGTTCCAATAAAATTGCCCGCAACAATTGTGAAAATTGGCGTCACAGTAACTTTTGTTGCCAAGAAAAATTCAAAATATGTTAAATAGTCAATCATTTTTTTTAATGATTCTGTTTACTTTCAGTCGCTAATTACAATAAGGTGTTCAACACAAAAGTTTCAACACCGATGACGTCTCTCACTGTTGTTTCCGCCTCGGAGTGCAGTTCCAAGTGTTATACAAACCAGTCCTGCCTGAGTTACAGTCACCACCCAACAGCTGCTCCCAACTGTCTCCTGACAACCAACCCAGAAGATGCAGCATCAGCTTCCGGCTGGACCAAGTTCTCCATCGATGTGTGCTCAAGTTACAACACCTGTGGCTGATCCTTTATCTACAGATCCAAGTTCTCCATCGATGTATGCTCAAGTTACAACACCTGTGGCTCATCCTCTATCTACAGATCCACTGTGTTCTGCAGGCGTGCCGTACTGATTATTATTTATCGTTTGACGTGTTGAATTAACAATTAATTCCAATGTCGGTAGCTTGTGGATGTATTTTGGACAACATTTTACCATCCATACTTAAATGTATCTTACTGTTGTCTCAATGTTGGTGACACCATCTGTAGAACATTTATTGTCAGGTGTCAGTGTCATTTGATTATTCAATATAACAAGGAGAAGATTCATGTGGACTAGTTTAAGTTTCTGAAGGGAAGATTTAAATCCAAATGGAACATCGCAAACTGCTATCATTTCCACTAAACATTTCTGATCTTTAAAAGTCAATTGTTGTGACTTCTTGATTTTGGTTTTCGCATGGACAAACTGATGATGTGCAAATGCGCCATTGTGCTTTGAAAGTGGACTCTCCGCTATGTAGTGAATAGTTTTATAAACTCATCTTTCGTGTTTGCCTTTAATGGAGCGACAGTTACATCACATATATTTCTCACTCAAACACCTCTGACTTTTGAAATACATTACAGTGTATCAGAAATTAGTGTACATACTGTTCATATTCATTATGGTAATTTCATACAAACAGGTTAATGACCAAGAACTGTGTATATGCATACTTTCATGAGCTGCATGTACAAAAGGTGTTATAATCCTTTGTTCTTTTATTGGACATTTCATGATGTGTAACGATGCACCAGGTGCGCGTTTAATCACAGACGATTAACGAATTACTCCTCTTCGTGTATGATTTAATAAATTCTTTGAACCTTTCTTCTTAAATCTTGAATTCACGGGATATTAAAATAAATTTCCGTGACATGTACCACATTTGAAAGGCGAACCGTATTCGATGTAAAGCCATTGTATAATTCGAATCTTTCAATGCAAAAGCCGACTGCTGCAACGTCTGGGGTTGTTGTTGACGTCGGCGTAGCCGTCTATTCCAATTTATCCCACATTTGCTCAATCAGGTTCAAATCCGGGGACCTGGAGGGCCAGAGTAGAACATCAACGTTGTTGTTGTGTAGACAGACTCTTGTGATCCCTGCTGTATGTCGAGAGGTGTCCTGCTTGAATACATGGTTGCCGTCAGCTGCAATTGGTATTGCGTGTGGTAGGAGAATTTCGTTGTTGTATCGTTGAGCCGTAAGATTGCCCTGGATTTGGAACAAACCTGTCCTGCCATGATGAGAGATCACATCATAACGCTACCCCACCAAACATATCCATACTGCATGCAGCTTCCGGCGTAACTTTCTCCCCGACGTCTGTAGAAATCTTGATTCGTCGCTGAACCAGACATCTCTCCATCGCAGTTGAGGCCATCCCATATGTTGACGACACCAATCCAGTGGTTGTTTTGTCGACTCAATATGACGCCTCGAACAGGATGTCTTGCTCGTAGACCTGCTGCTTTTAAACGGTTTCGTACGGTCGGTCGGAGATTCTGCGCAGTCCGGGTATTTGGGATGCGGTTGTGGTGGGTGTGGTCGTAGGTGGAGCAGTCGGATGTAGCGATCTTGGGTGGGGGTGGTTACTATTGGTCGTCCCGACCTTGGCCGATCACGTGTTGACCCATGCTGTTGAAATTGATCCCATAGCCTTGTGATGGTGCTGGGCGCTACATTGAAAACCCTGGCAACAGCTGATCGGGATTCCCCTGCCTGCAAGCGGCCTATGAGGTTGTTTCTTTGCACTACTGTTAATCATGTGTTTGAACTGTCACTGTTCGATTGACGCAGATGCCAGGCAATAAAAAACCTACACTTTAAAACCGTTCATAGTGCTGCTGGGGGCACGGGTTGCCCAGTCGTCTAAGGCGCCGCGATTCGCTGTGCAGAGTTGCGTCCCTTAGACACGCCAGAAATCTATGATCAAAGATAAAGACATAGCTGTTCACATTAAGCATATGGAGGATGAAGCAATCTGAAACTAGACATGAGTTAGAGAGATTAGAGAGAACTATCAAGAAAGAAAAGGAACGTAGGATGTCACAGGTTGCTTAAGAAAGAAACTTAAGAGAAGCTGAGAATAGGTATAAAGAAGCAAAGTTAATTTCATCAATGACTGACCGTGGTGATAGGATAAAGGAGCCAGTAGTCAGTGAGACATCCTATCCCAGGGGACTTAACACTGAGGTAACGCAGTTTAGTGACCAAGGTGAACCAACCACTGATAGACATATCAAGCGTGAAATTGAACATTCATATGTAGACCATAATCACACTCTCCGTCCAAGTGCTGATGTGTTTGCACCTAGACAGAATCAGGATTCCCATGTCAATCTATCACCTGCTATTGTACCTCAGCCCACAACTGCTTCAGATGTTCCCAGTGTTGAATTGCCAATGAATGCAATGCTGATTTCATCTGTGTGTGGAATTCCTAAACCTACTCTACCAGAATTCAAGAGTGGTAAGGAACGAGACTTTATCTTACTGGAGATGGCACTTGAGACATTAGTTGATGTCCATCCTCACCTGACTGAAACTTACAAGTATCAACTATTATTGGATAAACTTGGTAATAAACCAAGACAGCTTGCCGAGGCATTCATGTTTCACCCTACTCCTTACACAAAAGCTGTGCAGGAATTGCAACGCACATATGGTAGTGCGGGACAACTGATTCAGAGTGAGATAAGTGCCATGCTTAACAGTCCACCAATTAGGTTTGGAGATTATGATGCCTTTGAGAACTTTGCCATACTTATACAGTCGTTAGCTGGGATGTTGAAATCCATGCGGAGTGGAGCTGAACTGTATTGTGCTTCACATGTGTCAACTCTGATCACCAAGCTTCCACATGGGATGCGTGATAACTTTACAGAGCACTGTATCAAACAGGGACTGTATGATTCTGGTTCTAATGCAACATACAATTTGACCCACCTTGACCAGTTGTTACAGCTAAACTCAAGGGCCAAGAGATTATCTCATCAAGCAGTGCCTGGGAGTGACTCCATGAAGTCTGATAAGCGAATGTTTCGACGATCAGTTGTCTCTAGCCAACAAAGTAAGGAAACAAGTTCTGCATCAACATTCTACACTCAGCAAAATGCTTCAAATGGCAGACAACAGGGTCAACAGGTCAAGGTCAAACCAAAGTACAAGGGGTACTGTCCTAAATGTATATCAGCTACTCATTTTCTGAATACATGTCCAGAGTTTAAGAAGCTTTCTGATCTGGAAGTTGAATCTTGGTTGAGAGATCGATGTTTTCGATGTGCAAGAAACATAAACCAGAGGACTGTAACCTAAAGACACCATGTCAACTATGCACCGAGTTGCATCTTACTGCCCTACATGATGCATGCAGACATATGACATATATGCAAAGGAGGTGATGTTTTCAAAGACCTCTTCCTCGTCTGCACAAGTATATCTTGATCAGCCATCCAAGCCCTTTAGTACCATGTTGAAAGTTGTTGAGGTTACTTTGTACGGACAAGGCTGAAGCATGAATGCCTACGCAATCCTTGATGACGGATCTCAAAGAACCATGATTCTTGAATCCGCTGTGAAGTCTCTTTATCTTTTGGAGAAACCAGATACCATTTTGCTTACAACAATTCGGCGTGAGCCATATCAGTGCAGTGGACAGTATGTGAATCTTCAGGTATCTGCAAAGGATATGTCAGAAACAAGATACAATGTGCTAAATGCCTTCACATCGAGCAACTTGTCTTTATCTGAATATACATACCAAGTGGCTGAACTCCAGAAACAGAGACTTACCTTTGCCCCATATTGACAATGCTAAACCAGTCATTCTGATTGGTTCAGACTTGGCCGAACTGATCGTACCTCAAGAGCCAGTTAGAAGTGGACCAAGTGGTTCTCCAATCGCTGTGCATACCCGACTGGGCTGGTCACTTCAAGAAACACACAATGTACGGAAGCAAGTTAGGACCCAAACAGTATTATTCACTGAGGTGGAATCTACTAGTCTCATGAGTGACGTTCAGGCATTGTGCCTTATCTGAAGAAGGATGTGATAAGGTCAAAGCAGGATAACCTTGCCATGCATATTCTAGAAACTGACACTCAAAGAGTGGAAGTGAATGGTATTTACCGATATGCAACTCCATTGTTGAGATTCGTTGACACAGTGTTTGAGGCTTCAAAAGAAGATATGATCCCAACACTTCAACGTATGGGGCGCCGTTTACTGAATCATCCAGCAAGGGCAGAAATTCACAGTGATCTTGTTCACAAGTTAGTTGATGATGGACTAGTACAAGTTATTAGTGACGAGGAAGACAGGAAGACTTCCGAGTCATGGTACATTCCTCATCATGTTGTGGGACAAAATGGTAAACACAGGTTGGTGTTTAATTGCTCTTATGAGTGAGTGAGTGAGTGAGTTGTGTTTAACGCCGCTTTTAACAGTATTCCAGTTATATCGCGGCGTGTCAGCTTAATGTGGGAGGAAAGCCCGAAGTGATGCAGGTCTCAGACGTTTACCACTTCGGTGAAACCCACGAGCACGGGTATGGTGCTGACAAACCTAGAAACATAACCGGGGTGAACCGGGATTCGAACCCACAATCATAGGTTTCTGGCGTGCCCAAGGGACGCAACTCTGCACAGCGAATCGCGTCGCCTTAGACGACTGGGCCACCCGTGCCCCCTGCTCTAATGAACATGACGGTAAAAATCTCAACAAGAAATTGTTACCGGGACCGCAGTTGGGACCATCCCTACTTGGAGTTCTTTTGAGATTTCGACAGCATTCTGTTGCCATTGCTGGGGACATAAAGGCTATGGTCCATCAAGTTCGACTTTTGCCGAGGGACAGATCACTTCTTCGTTTTCTGTGGCTTGACATGAGATGTCATGGTGAACCAGACATTTATGAATGGCAAGTACTGCCATTTGGAACAACATGCAGTCCAGTATGCGCTACTAACGCCCTAAAGAGGCATGTAAAGAACCACAGGTCGGGCAAAGGTCATGTCCAGAGATCTTTTATGGAAGCTTTCTATGTCGACAACTGCCTGGACAGTGTGCCCACTAGTGAAGATGCTAGAACCTTGCTCCATGATATTGGGAATCTGTTGGATGATGGAGGATCAGTAATGATCCTTCTGTTGTGCGAGATGTCCTATCCGACAATAAAATAAATCGTCTTTACTGTAGTTTGTCCTTGTGTATGTATGCTAAAGCACACACAAGGGTAGGTGTAACTGACCTTAGTTCCAAGTTCAGTTGCAAATTCGTATTGCACTGGTGTTTGATCCATGCATGAAAACGCTCTATATGCACCCCGATCTAATTTGTCGAGGAAATCATGGAATCGTTTAGGTTGCTTCTTAAATAGAATTACAATGTAGTTCTTTGAGGTCTTTCGGTATGCTCTGCTGCTCAGAATGACGTTTACGACGCACACGAACGTGTCTTCCGGTCAAAGTTTCAGAAATATCCATCATTGCAGGTAAAGCACTTGTTCGCTTTGTAATATCTAAATCGGTTTGAATTGTTGGCTTCACATTTTTCACGTTGTTCTAAATCTGTATGCCATGTGTTACACAACTGTCCCTTTCGAGTTTATAAACAGTGGATATAATTCTTCATTTGCTTCTCTAGCAGAAAGAGTGCAATGCTGATGTACAAAGATATGCATGATTTCTAGGGCATACTTAACTGATTATTGCTTGCCTTCATTGCGTCATTGCATCTTTCAGTAGTCGGGGGCCTCCATTGCCATCAGATTACACAAATGCAACATTGACTTCAGAAATGCAAGCCAAAACAAAACGGCCATTGTCTTTCACCTTGTCTGGTGATTGCGGAACTCCTTTTTCTTCTGATAATGACAGTATGGCAGTATTCATCAGCTACATGAATAGGCATTGCTAAACCATAATGTGCTTGTTGGGAGCTGAAGTAATGCTGTTCATACCAGGGGGCACGGGTGGCCCAGTCGTCTAAGGCGGCGCGATTCGCTGTGCAGAGTTGCGTCCCTTGGGCACGCCAGAAACCTATGATTGTGGGTTCGAATCCCGGTTCGCCCCGATTATGTTTCTAGGTTTGTCAGCACCATACCGGTGCTCGTGGGTTTCACCGAAGTGGTAAACGTCTAAGACCTGCATCACTTCGGGCTTTCCTCCCACATTCAGCTGACACGTCGTGATATAACTGGAATACTGTTAAAAGCAGCGTTAAACCCAACTCACTCACTCACTCACTGTTCATACCAAAATGCGTCAATACTGAGTGAGTAAGTGAGCGGTTTAACGCCGCCTTTAACAGTATTCCAGTTATATCACGGCGTGTCAGCTTACTGAGGGAGGAAAGCCCGAAGTGATGCGGGTCTCAGACGTTTACCACTTCGGTGAAACCCACGATCACGGGTATGGTCCTGACAAACCTAGAAACCTAATCGGGGCGAACCGGGATTCAAACCAACAATTATAGGTTTCTGGCGTGCCCAAGGGATGGCTGTGAATGATATTATTATATCTGTCTGGGTCATATTTTCATTTACATAAGGATGAAGGATGATTGGTTTCCACCAATGTTCTCACTGTACAGTCGTTTCAATATCAGTGTTACATGGGTCATCAGCATTTGACATATACTTGACAAAGATTTCTGATTCAGTTGGTTTTGAAAGTGTATGTTTCTATGTTTCATGGAAGTAACGGCCCACGCAGATGCCCCTCCAATGTAGAATGTTATATAATAATAATATGCTCGAATCTTGCTCAGGCCATCATATTGCCGTCGATATCTTGGTATTTTTAAATGATCAGAAAACAATTACCAGTATTCTTCATAAGAACCAGTTTCATCCGCGTTCCTTAGTAACGGACACGGACAATATTACCCTTTAGACATGTTTCAATCAATATACAATGTTACGCAAAAATGCACAAGCGTACAAAGTGGATAAATGTTAATCATCATTGATTTGGGGTGGTCTTTTATTATGCACAAAGACTTCCATTGGCAACAAATATATACACAAGGAACCCACTGACAATGATCAGTGCAGGATGCAATTGCTCAGAAACGAAGTGGAATCACGATGACACCAAGTGCCAGGAATCTACTGTTCACTCTTTGTTATCTACTTCTGCAAGGTATGTTTCCCATCGTAACGGTTCTGACAACCACATACGTGTTTCACTTATTACCCACAATCATTGATACAATCAATGAAGAACGTAGTTATGTTCCCAGAAAGTGTTTGAGACAAGTGGAATTAATGCCATGTTGGTTCCAAAAAACTCAAGGGATTTTTTTTCAATTTTTGCAATCTCAAAAAGAGCCAAATTCAGTTGGGTCACAGCATTATAATTTTTCAGCTTTCAACATCGTTATCCCACAAGACAAACTTTATTGCTTGATCCATGTGACATTTGTCACCAGATGTGGTGATCATAGGTATACTTACGTTTTTATCTTAAAGGTTCCCGGACAATTCTTGAAAATTAGAAACAGATATTATCCGAAGTTTACTGAAAAAACAATATGTGAGGTGATGATCTTATTGCACCCCGTGCTCGCCGGCTGGCTTGTGTTTCGTTATGCATATCAATCTGAATTTCTGTTCTGATTGGTAAAGTCAAATCAAGGGATTCTGATCAGGGGGTTAAAACAATCTTCTGGTATATCACTGATCTCATACCGTTCAATAATGCTCAAATAGCCAATCCCCTTCCACTGATTACATGTATTAATACCATGCGATTATCATAAACTCGAAGATTTTCCCTGACTTATTTTTGCAATCTCAGAAAGGAAACAAGTTCCATCCTGTCAAAACATTTTTTTTCAACTTTGTGCATCACCATCCCACATGACAGACGTATGGAAAAACGTATTTACATTCTTTGATCCATGGTGCTTTTGTTACAAAACTTAGAGACCACTTCCACTTGTCTCAAATACTTTCTGGGAATATAATGACAGACCTTTCATGATTGAATTGAGGATTATGGTTAGTCTTTGAGACAGGGATTTGGTGGTACATTTCCTGGACCCAGCAAAATATTCCTCTTTGTGCGGATTTCTTAGGTAGCTTTGGGATCCGGTACAAAAGAAGAATAGACACGTCTTCAGGTTTTAGAGTCCAGTCAAAATTGATAGTATGCATGTTTTGAGCAGTTTTCTTCCTCAGTTAACATATGGGCCTTATGTGTGGCATAAGTTGATAAGTCGTTTGAACCAAGTTCTTTGATCAGACAATGAATGTGGTGATTTTTACATGTAATGGTTATGTTATTTGAGGCTATGTCGGTGGGAACAACTACACACTGCAAACACGAAAATGTCGTTTTTTTCCGTATATGGTCATTGGACGGAAAAACGACGTTATTTGGACGTTTTCAAACCATCGTTTTTCCGTCCAAATAACGTCGTTATTTGACATCGGAATTTACTGGGAGAGAACGATAGCGTTAAGCTCCTCCCTTTCTTGGTTGACATTGTCAATCAAGCAACAGCCTCTACCGGTATTTCTACTTCTCAGATTTCATTGGTCAGTATCCGCGTGTTAGATTACAGGCCCGCGTTTGACGCTGCATTCGAAGCGCTTAGCGGAAGTACTGAAATCAATCGTTCTGCGCATGCGGATTACTTAATGCCTTGACCAAATTTTCCGTTTTGTGCATGCGCGATTTCGCGTATTGTTTCCTATATTTAATGTCACCACTATTTGACAATGGTTCATAAACACAGTCACGTGAAGGTTCGGAATCGTAACGAGTAACTATGGGAGATTCCAAGATGAAACTATTCTATGGCTATCTAGGCTGCCACCCAAACCGATCTAAACGGGACCCGATAGCTTATTGTATGCTATAAAGTCATATGGAAGTGGACAAGAACTATACATTGTATTCCGGCCGATTGTTCTTGCATTTACTTTTAAGTCAGAAAAATGGACTTAAAAGGGGAGATGTTGAATGTAATTATTTTAATTATTAAATGTTGCCTATACACTAATCTGGACGAACTTCTCATTGTTCTGTTTATGTCATCCTATATACTATTAGTATGTTACCGTTCTAAAGTCAACCTCTCACATAACATTATATTGTTCATAGTATCAAAGTTTAATCAACAATATCAAGAGCAGCGATTTAAACCACTGAAACGCCCAAACACAAGGCTGTTATCAAGCGCTAGTGCAGACGTGATGCATCGTAAAAACTGTATCGTGATGTCTTCCGAAATTCAATTATACTACGAGATAGTACGGCTAACGCTGACGCACCGGTGGAACAAAGACAATATCGCTAATACAGATATAACGTATTTGAATGTTAATACTAAAGACAAACAATCATTATTTTTGCAGTGACGATATAACACGTATACACGTTTATTGTTAACTTTCATCAATTTTGCTCTTCATTTTAATAACTTTGTTTTCACATATATATATGTAGCAATACCCGACAAGCATGTCATACATAATTATGGGGCAGTTTTCAATCTTGTACTGACTTACCCTGGTGTTAATGAGCGAAGTTTATTGGCTTGTGTGTAAAACCCCGTTTTTCTGGTAATCCTATTATTACTTAGTTTATTTCTATCTAATGACACCCTGTTCTCTGGATCATGGCTCCGTGACTATCCATAACAATTAAGATGAACATTCAGTTCAAGTAAATGAATGAGTTTGTTTTGACGCTTCAGTCAGTCAAAAAACCAATGCTGTGAGGTTTGATAACACACTTCTACCAGGTCGAACATCGTGGATCCTCATTTTCTGCCTAAAGAGAATCATAGTTCATATGCTAATCCATCTGCGAATACCCTCCTACTCAAGATGACCTTACTTGTTGCTAAATCTATCATCTATCACCCTAATCTCACCCGCCCCCACCCCCCACACGCACGCACGCAAACACGCACACACGCACACACACACACACACACACACAAACAAACAATTGACCTAAATAACCTGGACAGGAAATACTGCTGATAGCCTCTGGTCAACTCAGCCGCGCCACCGCAGAATGTTCGTCCAACTCTGCAGGGGGCATTCTCAGTGACTTCAAACGCGCTGAAATGTTTTCGCCTTGCATCCAAGATGGTGGACAAGTGAAATCGGATGAAATTTGGCTATTTTAGGTCCTATCTCTTTTTTGATTACCCAATAAAGTCAATTCATAGTTACACGGTTGTGAAGAAGCTTACAACTTTATAAGACTTATTCATCTCATTCCAAAAAAGCTACTCGCGCTCACATAAAGTTGTAGTTATTATGTCACTGTTTTATTTCTTTAAAAATATATTACATGTTCAACAATAACAATTAAGATGAACATTCAATTTCCGATATAAGTTAATGAATAAGTGTGTTTTACGCCACAATCAGTCAAAGACCAACGTTGTCCGGTCTGATGACACACAATCTACCAGGTAGCACATTGTGTACACCCTATCCCCATTGAAGTCTCCACTGTGGGTATTCCTGGGGACGAAAAGGCCCCATGTACCTAGGAATTTCATCAATACATTCATGCGCGGCATTCTCTGCCTAAAGAAGATCATATAGTTAACATGCTAATCCAACTTGAACTACCATCCCGCTCAAGATGAATGTTTTATGTAACATCCAACAGGCCCACATTTACGCACGCACGCACGCACGCGCACACACATATTTGGATTTACCAATCCCTGAATTGAGAAGACGTGCGTTACGAAGCTCCTCCAAGTCATCATCAATATCCGTATATGTCTGTGATATCATTACCCATTCAAAGCCGAATATACATTTATTGTGTTTTCTTGACAACAAATGTTATAATTGGGATAACACTTTCTGAGTAAAGTACAGATTCTCGTACTTTCTTGGGTTGAGCCCCGTCCGGGATTTGAACCCACACTGTGAGTGAGGCACCCAATCGATCTAACCCAGCCACCGAACCAAAAATGTTAGTCCAGATGACGTATACTTTCTGTACTCCTCTGACAAGAGAAAAATGGCACGGCTTCTATGACCAAAAGCTTTGAACCAACAATGCCTTTAAGAAAGTGGTCAACAGTAACACACATTATATTTGGATACCACCTTCTCAGTAAACTACATATTTTTAGGGTGGAGATCATAGACGCTGATGGTTGATTATCAATGGACAAATTAAAGCCAAAACTTAACTTATGAATGATTGGTAATGGGAAATGGACAATGGGCAAACGGGAGGCGGGGTAATCAGCGCCATGCCAGTTATCTGTTGGCTTCCCTTGTTGCGTTCCCTTCTTTGCTATCTTTTTACTTTTGTTGTTCTTACAGGTACAAATATATGTTCTCTGCCTCATAGCATTTAATAATATGCACCTGATAAAGGAGAAAGTATATATTCCGAAACGCAGTGTTCATCCGTTGACATCCATAAATATTTTTCCTTGTGTGTATCAATTCTTAATGCCCTTCAAAGACTCAATCTAGCTTTGTTTTTAAATGTGGTGATATTTGCGTAGAATATAATATGGTCATGCCTATATACATTTGGGTCTTTGTCTACATAAGCATTTAGACATACAATTTAGAGCTAAGGACATTGCTAATTCTGAATTCTGGCATGAAGTACACGTCATAGCAAGCTGTGATCTTTATTCATACTTTAGATATTCGTAATGGAGATCTGTAACTGAAGTTTACCGTAATCTTCGGCAACTCTCACCTCCTGACCAGTTGAACGTCATAGTGCATTCAGATGCCATTGTAAAATTCCAGGCTGCCCCTCTTTCTGTGATGTTTTGACGGATGAAATCTATTGCGTTATAATAATCTCTGTTTGCTGATATATAATATGTACATGTTGTAAAATATTTACGATATTTTAAACGTGTAATTCGAAGCATATGCAATGCAATGTGAACATAAGTGCGGATGCACGAAGGCGGTTATAGTCATAGTTATACTGCGATGGATGTAGGGGAATGGTAGGGGTGTGTATGTATGTATGAAAGCACGAATACCGATACATGAGGGCGGATATAGTTATAGTTCGAATTGGGGAATGGTGGGAGGATGGATTATGTATGAAAGCATGCGCATGGATCCATGATGGCTGACGTAGACATAATGGTGGGGAAAGAAGAATGTGATGTGTGAGTG